AACCCTGGCAAAGTACCGAGTTCGAGCCCATCAACTTATTCCCAAAAAGGTTACCCTTCTTGCCACCCGCGACCAGTCAGGTGCGCTCTGCCTGACGAAGCGCTAAAGCATGCGCTCAAAGAGATTGCCTGGGAAGGACTGCTTTCTCAATTCGCGATTCAGCGACAGCAACCCTTCCTCAGCGCGTTCGGCTGAGGTTGTACACTCCCTGATTTTGTGTAACATTCCGTTAATCAAGGAGCGCTTTTGTTTCATGCACGTATAGGAAGAGAAATCCTGGAAACACTTATACCCCAGCTTTGTACCTGTCTCCCAGATCAAAGAGAAGTTTTTTGCTCGATACCAGCTCAATACTTTCCCTCCCTCAATTAAAACTCTACAACCCAAAAAGCCCCATTCATTCATTCCATCGTCTGTTCGCTTCAGGGTAAGCTTTGGGTCATACGAGTTCTCAAATCTTTCGATGATCCCTTTAGCCTGTCTCTTATACACATCTAGATGTGTATAAGAGACAGGCTTTGTACCTGTCTCCCAGATCAAAGAGAAGTTTTTTGCTCGATACCAGCTCAATACTTTCCCTCCCTCAATTAAAACTCTACAACCCAAAAAGCCCCATTCATTCATTCCATCGTCTGTTCGCTTCAGGGTAAGCTTTGGGTCATACGAGTTCTCAAATCTTTCGATGATCCCTTTAGCTCTTCCCTGTTTCCCTTTCTTCCAACTCTGCCAAACGAACAACGAAACATCGTCGACTAGTCTAATACCCTTCACCATCCCAGCCTCCTTCCCCAAGCTTTTAAAAAAAACACATTCATAGTACGCGCAGAGGATGCATGAGATGGGAGGGCTACTCGACTTCCCCATCGGGATGCCCTCTTTCTGCCTAATCAAACGATCGGAGGCCCACAGGAAGGTATTACCCAAATCAAACTCCACCATCTTTCTGATCGACTCAAAGTCAATCTTCACCCAACCTTCTTCCCTCTGCTTTCCAAAGGATGCGCCCTTCCCCCTGGATCTCACCATCACAAACTTCTTCCCTTTCCTCGAAAATACCTTCAGCACCCAATCAATTGCCTTTTTTACGGACTCGTGGGGGAGCTTACTAAACATTTTTTTAATGTCGTAAGCTGCTCCCAGGAGTTCGCCATTCTTCTTCTAAGAAGCCCATTTGTTGACATCTTCAATCTTCGATTTCAGCAGATTTTTTGACTTCAGGTTGAAGTGACTGTTCTTCGGCAGCGAAAATAACAGGAAATTGAGGGCTTTCGCCACCCTCTGGTTCGCCATCTTCGCAGGTTCGGAATACGAAGGAGAGATCGGGCGAAATTTTTGGGTGTTCTTATGCTGCGGGAGAACATAGGCTTTTCGCCATGATCCTTTGTTATCCCAGTTCCCGATTGATTTCAGTCCTCTCGCTTCGTACTCCTTCGCTCGTACCCTGATTTCCTCTTCATTTCGCCATACAACTTCAAAGGCATCATTGCCCCAGAACATGACCTTCATTCCTTCTTCGTAGACAGCTGGGCAGACTACCAAGGTCTCTGCAGGGTTTTTGTCCAGAGGAAAGAACACCATTCCCTTCCACTTCTCCTTCACCTTTTCGATCTCGTCAATCAACCCATCTCCTATTCCCTTTTTTTTCCGTATACATGCTCTCACTTGGTGGGGTGTCCATGTAGGCTCCAGGCCTGACTTCATCATCTCATCATTCAGTTCCCTACAGAGTCTGATATCATCCCTTCCGTTATCAATACCCTGAACCACATTCTTCGCATTACACATCCTCGAGTCCACGTCATTCCTACTGCTTAGACGAAACGCGACGTGTTCTCCCTGACGCGGGCGATCAAGATCGGCGCAGCAGCAGACATTAGCCAAAAGATGACTGAAACGTCTATGGTTATGGAGAAGTCCTCCGACAGTCTGGTTCCTTCTCCAGACGAGTCGGAGCTTCTGACACCGCAGCTTCGTTTCGGCAGAGGACTGACATTGTGACTTTATCTTTTCAACAGTTCGCTTCCTAATCTCCGCTCATGAAATACGCTCATCGTACCTGACCCCGACTACCACCTTTCTTCTCAAACTCACTCCAAACCTCCTCTTCACCACTTCGTCAGTCATCACCTTGAGAGTCTTCCTTGTACTCTTCCTCGAGAAGCTTCTTATTTCCATGAATAAGTGTACGAGCTGCTCCAATTGCAGGCCTTTGAGCTTCTTCAAAGACCAGGGGCGTTTTAGCAGCTGATGTAGCTGCTTCTTCAACTTCGGGTTGCCTGGCTGTCTTTCGCGTATGCGGACGAACGTCACCTCGCATCCTTTCTCAAATAAACTCTTGGCTGCTTTCAATTTAGTCTTCTGCGCTCTAGCCAACAGGTCCGAGTCCCCGAACGTCCGTTTGACAGTTCCCCAATCTTCCGCCCATATTTACCCTCCGGTCGAAGTAACCTTTCCTTCTCTTTTCCCTTTCATTGCGCGAATTACCTCACTCAGCTTTCCCGTACTCACAACATCGCCACCCCGAAAACGTAGTATCTTTTCATCATCAAAGCAAACTCTCCTTTCTTTCTTCCTATCGCGCCTTCCCTTCCTTTTTCTCTTCTTTCGATTCCTACCGTCCTTCCAGCCACTCGAGTTCAAAGCTGGACACCATCGCCTGATCAATCGCTGCTCCAGTATCTCTAGCTCAGACTTCTCGGCTATCGCAACTGGAATCGCAACGTAAGACTCCCATCCCCACTTTCTTAGCCAAAGATATAATCTATTCTTTCGAATTACACCGTTAGAATTGGTCCTTCCGACATGCTCTGACCAGCGGTCCCTTAGCATTATCTCGGTCTTCCCTACGTAAGCTAGCTTACACCAAGGATTCAACAAAATATACACACAAGACTCTGGTTCATCCCACTTCCCTCGTGTTCTCTCAAACACCTCCGACATACATTCCAATTACTTCCCCAGCTAATCTCATTCTCCAATATCGAAAGCAGGAAAGCGTTCCTTAGAATCTTTTCGACTAACGACATTAACCTTTTCGCTCCACGATTGACTTTACACCATTTCCTTTCCTCGAGAAAGTCAAGGAGAAACTTCCATCCCTCTGCTCTACTCGTCAGGGTCCTCTTGGGGGTCTTGGATTTCACCCTTTATCTGGTCCTCTTCTCCCTGCTTGCTCGACGTCGACCCCTGGGACTTCTTGTCTCCGAAACAATAGGTCACCCTTAGTTCTAACAGCGTATCAACAGCGTCATTAACGCCGTAAAAAGGAAGACTCGCACCTTTGCACATCTCCTTCAGTGTCTCGGGGTAGGAGGAAGCTATGGTTTTCCTTACCGCTTTTCTGTAACCTACTTCAGTGGCGTACTTCTCTCCGATAGGAACTCCCTCCCATGGGTCCACCCCTCTCGCTAGCTGAGCAGCTTGCGAATCGGCTTTCGTAGGTCTCCCCCTCCCTTTTCGTTTCTGGCTAACCGGTGTCTCGACCTCCTTCTTCTTCCCCAGCTTCTTTGGAGTCTCAACCGGGGGGCTGTTTTCCACGGCTCCTGTCGAGTCGCGGCGCTTCCTCTTATCTTTCAAGGGAGTGGCTTCCTCTACATCTTCGTCATCTTGTTCAGAGCTCGACGAGGGCATTTCCTTCACTTTGTCTTTCTTCTTTGTCTCTATCGACACACCCTTCAGTTTACGACTCAATCCCACAATCTTCTCGAACTTCTCTTTGTGCTCCTCGCGTTGTTCTGCCAACAATTTCTTCAACTCCCACCTTCGTCTCTTCTCCTTATCCTCTTTAGCTTGTTTTTTTGCCATAGCGATCCTTACCTCCTCCTCCTTCGCTGCTTTCTCTTCCTCCTCTTTCTTTAGTTTTTTCTCTGCTTCCCGCTTGGCCTCCTCGGCTTCTTTTTGTTGCTCTAGGAGTTGCTTGGCCATCCTTCCCACATAACTCAAGGATTCTTCCAACTCTCGACTTACGGTAAGTGCACCGCCACCTCCTCCATACCTCCCTTGTGATCGAGGACAATGACTCTTGTAATGGCCGAACTCGCCACATTCATAGCACTTTACCTGTCTCACTCCTTCGCTCCTCCTTCCAAAGTCTTCGGCTGATGACCCACGTCTATCATCGTATCTTCTCTCTCGTTCCCTTCTTCGCTCATGTCGACCATCCCGACTTTCCCATCCTCCGCTCTCGTAACCTCTCATCCTCTCATGCCTACCCCAAGACTCACTTCTTCTACTCCCCATCTCTGCTACTCAGTCTTCAAACAGGCCGTTCTCACCGTTACACGCTTCCTCTTGGACGAAAGTCCTTGCACGCCTTCTTCGGTCCCCCTTGGTCGCCGGATCTTAGCTCTTCACTAACGCTTCCGTCTTCTTCAACAGCCTTCTCTTGCTTCTTTAGTAATGGTAGGTAACACGTCCTCGCTACCACCAGGTCCAAGTGACATCCCTTGGCAGGTTGTAGCGCTGAATCACAGACAAAATGAATTCGGTGTGTTGTTTACTCGATGGCAAACTTACCGCGGGATAGTTCAAACCAATGAACACAAGACTTGACCACTTTTAGTCGAAAAACGTCACTGTGCTTTGAAAATGCCGAAACCGAAACAGATAGCACCGTACGCCCGGTGGCAGCGGCATCCAGAGCACGCCAACGCGCGAGAAACGTGGAAACGTCCTTCACATGAGGCTACGTACGTTCTACGCGAAAAAGAGGTCTCATCAGTACTGAAAATGCTATTAATAGTGTCTCAATCGACACCTTATTTCCTACGAACTTCACACCTTATTTCCTACGAACTTCACGTTGACATTTCTGAGCATGAATAGAACCCGATCCCAACCAAACAAAAGAAAGCAAAAACAAAAACAACGGACTAGAACCTTCTACTAGTTACAATACGTCGGGTTCGAACACTTGGTCCCACGAACACTACCTTGAGTTCACCTAGCCCAAGAAGGGCCTAATTCRAAAAAAGGGGAAAACGGACAAAAGCAAAAATGACAAGAAACAACTGACTATGAAAYTTCAACCCTGGCAAAGTACCGAGTTCGAGCCCATCAACTTATTCCCAAAAAGGTTACCCTTCTTGCCACCCGCGACCAGTCAGGTGCGCTCTGCCTGATGAAGCGCCAAAGCGTGCGTTCAAAGAGATCGCCTGGAAAGGACTGCTTTCTCAATTCGCGATTCAGCGACAGCAGCCCTTCCTTAGCGCGTTCGGCTGAGGTTGTACACTCCCTGAATTTGTGTAACATTCCGTTAATCAACGTGCGCTTTGCACAAGGGTTTAATTAAAAAGAAAAAAAAAGAAAAAGAAAAAAAAGACACTGGAAGCAGCCTTCGGGTCTGACCTCCCAAAACCTGTTCATACCAATTTCTCGGTTTGACACTTTCGTCTCTTTGTGGCAAATACACCTTTTGCTTTCTGTTTTTTGAATGTGGTTCGATGGACCACAGATCAGATATTGCAAGCGGCCTACCTCAGTTGGTTAGGCACGCCAGTGGCATTCAGGAGGTGTTGGGTTCGATCCCCACTGACACCTGCGGCACTCTTAGGGCCAACCAACTGAGATAGTTTGGCTTGCTCCCCCCTACCGGCAGAGGGGAAGGATCCTAAATCGACGACGGTATTGGTAGGGTCTTTGACCATCACGGGTGGCCCGGGTGGGCGTGTGTGTGTCTGTGGGTTTTGTCTGGTGTGGGACCCATTCAAAGAGATCGTAAATATGAGAATTATAGTAAAATATATTACCGACTCTGGTTCGGAACAGAAGAACTCAAAAAGTTTCTTCGAATTATCTTGCCATATATTCCTGTTCAAAGTATGCTAAGAAAAACGATGTTGCTTTACAAAGATGCTAAATTTCAACAACGCTGGATCTTTGAGATGAAATTATTGAATCCTAAATTTTCTGAACAGATTGACTTGATATTGCAATCAAAACAAAAACTCAGAGAATGATCTTCAGCCACTCAGCCATACCTCCCGGGAAAAACGGGATTTGAACCCGCGACTTCTGGCGTGACAGACCAGCACTCTAACCAACTAAGCTATTTTCCCATCTGGGTAATAACGGACTTGAACCGCTGGCTCTCTCGGTGTAAACGAGGCACTCTTCCAACTGAGCTAATTACCCAAATGTGTTATTCCCAATCTAAAGCGCCCTTCTTCCATTCATAAACAAAACCAATAGTTAAAATCAATAAAAAGACCATCATAGACCAAAATCCAAACAATCCTATTTTATTGAAAGAAACTGCCCAAGGAAATAAAAAAGTAACTTCTAAATATTGGGTCAAAAGTTCCACTGCAACGGTTGCCCGTTCACCCGTCCAGTCTACTAAAGTGCCCACCAAACCGTGCAAGATGCCGTACATCACACGGCTTTCCAACTTGAGTAATGAATAACCTCATGCATGATGGATGACTCCAATCAGGAAGTCGCCCGATATCATACAGTTACGACTCTGGCGAGTCTCTTCGAGTGTCTCCAACCACTCTGGCCAGACCTTTCTGCTCGAGCGAGCCTCTACGAAGAAATGTGGCTCGAAAGAGCGAGCTGGGAGTCTGGATTTCGGAACCTGGTTACCAGCCATTGCGTGGTTTCTTTAGGTCTTTGCCTGCTATAGCAAAGACCTTAGCCCGTGAGCGAAGCTTGAATTTGGCAGCATATACCATAGCCAAAGAATGGCGAAGTATATATGAGAATGCCGGCCATAGACACTGCTGTTACTCGATGGGGGTGAGGGAAGTTGATGGGAG